AACAACTCCAAAGTTTCCCAGCCCCTCCCTCAACCCCCAGCTCAAGGCTAAAGGCCCTGTCGCCTCAGTCTCTCTCCCAGAAACAGAGGCCAGAGAAGAAACCCAGATACAGACTCCCTTTATTCTCAGATGGTAAACTGAGGTCCAGGAAGGACAAGCCCAGCTTAGGTCTTAGGGAGAGCAGAGGGCCTGGCAGAGCTCCTGGGGCAGGGCTAAGGGACAGGCAATGGCAGTAAGCAGGTCAAGGATGGCCCGCCTGGCTGACCTCTACAATGGCACAGCTGGAGTCCCCTCCAGCCCCACCTGTGAGCTGGGAGCTCCCCCGGTGTTGGGAAATACCAGGGCTCCAGCCGAAAGAGGGCCGTTCATTTGCATGCTGATTTGCATACGCTTTTGCAGGCTGCCCCGGTGTCCATCTGCCAGGTGCCATTCCAGCCCCCTTGTCCCCACCCACCCTCTTAACCCCCACCTTGGGAAGCCCTGGTGGCTTCAGAGTCCTCTGTCTTTTTTCTGCTTTGCAGGGCTGGGGATAGGACCCAGGGCCTTGCTCATTCCAGGCAAGAGCTCCACCATTAGCGGCACCTCTGTCCCCAGAGTTCTTTCAATGTCCCCCGCCCATCCACTGCCACGTGCTTGATCTAGCTGTTCCTGTCCCCTTGCCTCCTCCGGGATGGCTTCCTGGGTTGATCACTGCCATGGGGCCTAGTTCCTCTCCGGTGATTCAGGGAATACCCAAATATTAAGGAGTGGGAAGGTGGCAGGGTCAGGGTTGCCAACTCAGGGAGGACTAAAGTAGCCCCAGTGTGGTTCCAGCAGCGGGACAGCGGGTGGGGTCCCACCTGAGGTTTTCTACCAGCCAGGCTAAGCCTTTTTGCTAAAGAAACAGTTCTCATGATCTTGTTCTGCCTTGGTTTCCCCATCAGCGGCCTTGGGGGACCCTAACCCTCAGTTTCCTCCCCCAGGAGAGCAGGAGAGCTAACCCAGGGTGTGTAAGAGAAAAGGAAGGGCAGGAAGGGGGCGTACCCCTCAGCCCTCGCCCAAACTCAAACTGGGGAAACGGGTTTGCCAGCTGAAGTCAGCTCTCCGAGCAAAGGGAGGGGCACAGGTGTGGCTGGCTGGGGGGCACTGACTGCCTGGCTTCGAGGGTCCCTGCACCCTATGGGTTCCCCATTCTTCCGTGGGTCTGGCACCGGGGGTGGGGCAGGACTGCGCCTGCATCCAGCAGGAAGGCAGCACCAGGAGGCTGCAGGCTTCCTCTCCAGTGGCCAGTGGCTGCCCCGCCCGGCTCCGGGTGGCTCTCACATCCTGGATTAGTTTGCCAGGCCCCAGGCTGCTCCCTGCCTGCCTACCCGGGGTCCTAAGGCTATGTCTGTTAAGACAGCCTGCACCCCAGAACAGCCTTGCGAGGTGAGGGACTTGGGGGACACTGGGTGGGGGGATGGATATGAGGGCCAATGGAGTCAGCAGCATGGCCTCAGGAGCACCTCTTTACCTGGCCACAGATAGGGAAACTGTGGCTGCCCCAGGCCACAGAGCAATATGAAAGGGAGGAGGCAGGCAGACTTCTTTACAGACCCTTTGTCCACCACCAGGGCCAACCTTGGAGATGGAGACAGGCCAGGGTAGGGGGAAGCAGTGGCGCCAGGGAAACCTGCTCTGACCCCTGCCCCACCACAGTGGCTGCCCCTCTCCAAAGTCCAGGTGAACCCCAAGGGAAATAGAGGTGCACAGACTTGGATCTGGGTCCTACCAGGAAGGGCTCTATTTCAGGCACTGCCACCTGCTGGAGCCTGGACCTGTCAAAACCTGAGCCCCCCACCAAACGGATCCTGGCCCATTAGGCTTGGGCTCTAGGAGTCCTGGAGACCGTTGGCCCCAGGGACTGCAGGTCCGGCATGAACTTCCTCCAGTGACACACGGCTGGGGTGCACAATAGTCCATTGTGCCCAGGGCACACCTGAGCCAGGAGCTCATGCCAGGCAGGTGCAGGGAGGGAGGGGTCACCCAGCTTGGATCCCTCCCTAGCCAGCGCAGAGGAAAGCGGGGACACAGGTGTGTGACAGTCGGGTTGAGGGTCACTGAATCAGATCACTGTCCTTACCCTCGGAGGTCACCCCAAGTAGCCCCCGAAAGAGAGGTGGCAGCTCTGCAGGAAAGGCCTCTGTCCTCCCAGGTCACCCACCCCGCCCCACTCCACCCCATACCAGAACACGGTGGGTAGGAGGAGCCAGTTACCCCAACTTCTGCGGGCGTGTGGTGTGAGGGATTCAGTCCGCCCTGTAGCAGGAGTACACTTCCCTGCCCAACGCGAGTTGCGGAGACCCCTAGCTACCCCGGCCCTTTAGCCACGATCACCCCACCCGCTGCACCCACATGCAAACCGCGTCCCTTTTCCTCTCTCCACCTGACCAGCCTGGTATCCCCCGCCTCGGTGTCCCTGGCTGGACAGGGTCAGTGTCCGGTCGGCAAGACTCAGGCCAGGCGGGACTCGTGCGCGGGGCGGGCACGCACATGTGCGCAGGGCAAAGCACGCCCGGGCACGGGGCGCAGGTGCAGCGGGCGCGCGCGGCGACGCAGGGACGCGGGATCACGGGGACGCGGGCTCACCTGCGCGTAGTACAGCAGCCACAGTTCGTAGAGCCGCTCCGAGGCGGCCATGGCCCGACCAGGCTCCCGCCCCGCCGCGCACCACCTGTCGCCGCCTCCTCCGCGCCGCCCGCCGGCTGCCCTCGGCCAGGCCCAGGGGCGGAGCGTGCCGGGGAAGTCCGCGCTGGGTCCCCTGCCGGCCGCCTGGCTCGCGCTCCGCCTCCTCCTGCCTCGGCCTCCCGCCCCGCCCCCTGGGCCGTCCAGGCGAGAGCACAGCGGGGGAAGGGCCGGGGTCATGGCCAGGCTGGCGCGCAGTCTTCAAGATCCCGCCTCTTGGCCACGGTGCTCCCACGGGTGACACCCGCCCACCTCCTGTGACGGCCACGGGTAGTGCTCACTGCAGCCAGGTTCTGTTCTAGGCGTCGCTGTTCTGAGGGCCTGAGCCCAGAGCTTCCCCTACTGAGCTACCTCTCTAGCCTGTTTTAATTTTAACTTATTTTTGAGATTGGGGGGGGGGTCTCCCTAAATTGCCCAGGTTGAACTCAAATTTGCAATCACCCTGCCTCAGTCTCCCAGTCTTAAGATTGTAGATATGTGTTACCAAGCCTGGCTCCAGGAGCTTTCCAGGAAGATCTGAAGGCCACTTTTGAGCTATGTCACTGTCACGTGAGGGGCAGTGTGGGAACTGAGATGGGAGCCAGCAACAGGACAGAAGGAGACTGAAACGGCTTTCTCGGGAGTGGGCGGGTTCCCAGACACCCATGCGGGTTGGGTCTGGGCCTCTAGGAAGCCTTTCAGAGTGCTGTGGGGCGCATTCACCCCCAAACACTCCAGAACCACCTTAGATTCCTTCAGTCTCTTGGGATGGGTGCCTTCTGTGTGCCTGTCAGATGGAGAAACCAAGGCTCACAGAGACCTAGACTTAATGGATAGCAGGGCCACTGTCCCCATGGCTCCCGTGTCCCTTTCCCTGTTTCCAACTTGCCTGTAAAATACCCTCCCTGCCATGGGGCAGGGATCAGGCCTTTTGGTGGTGGGGGTGGGGGTGTCACCAGGCCTAGAGACTTGCTATGGGTTGTAGGAAGTGAACAGTCTGGAATCTGCACCTCTGCCCTGTCCCCTAGTTTTTTTGTTTTTTGTTTTTTGTTTTTTTTCGCCTTTTTATCCGTACCAGGGATCGAACTCACGACTGCCTGCTTGCAAGGCAGGCGCTTATGCCACTGAGCTAAATCCCCAGCCCCTCCCCTTGCTTTTTGAGTGGTTCCCAGAGTCGACTTCTATTCCTTTTCCCTCTCTCTGAGCTCTACACTGACATTCCTGAGCACCCACTGCCTGGCCTCAGGCCCTGGCAGGGCACTACAACTGCGGGGAGGGGGCTTAACAGTCAGGCCGGTCTGCAGCCTTTGGGCTTCTGAAGGGAATCAGGAGCGGAGAATAGCTTGTGAGAGTCTGCTGTACTGGGAAGTCTGTGGGGTAGGGGAAAGAGGGCATAGCCTCCTACCCTGAGAGGGTGCGGGTCTGGCTTGAGGGACCCTGCATCCTGATCTAAGCAGGCAATCAAAGCAAGTGATGGATCTCGGCAGCCACATACCTCGGGGCCAATGCTGCAGGCCAGGGCACACCAACTCTTTGTAAACTGAGGTGGATGGTCTTGTGCCCTCTCCTCCAAAGGAAAGTCTTTGCCCCAGAGTACATTGCGGCGGGGTGGAGGGATGGGGAAGAGAAGGGGAGAGGAGAGATCATCTGGAAAGCCCATGCCACTTTAAAGAAAGATTGTGCCCCTAGGTCCCACTCTGCGGTTTTTTTTTTTTTGTTTGTTTGTTTTGTTTTGTTTTTTGTCTTTTTCCTTTTTATCGGTACCGGGGATCGAACTCACGACTGCCTGCTTACAAGGCAGACGCTTATGCCACTCTGCGGGTTTTGTCTAGGCTAACAGCAGACACGGAGGGGCTTAGGAGTTCGAGGCCACGTGAGATGTAGTGGAAGAAGAGGCAGATCTCATTAGGTTTCTCTTAATTTATTTATTTTGAGATTGTCTTGCTACTTATTTCAGGCTGACCTTAAACTCATGATCTTTCTGCCTTAGCCTTCTCAGTGCTGGAATTACAGGCTTGTGCTACCACGCAGGCTCAGGAAGGTCTCCTGGAGCATTCGCATCTGAAGAGCCGGATGGATAAGGATGGGTTAGGATATTCAAGAGGCCAGCAAGGAAGCGTTGTAGCTAACTGCTTAGATAAAACCAGGGGCAATCGACGCACTCTATTCTCTCTTTCTCAGGTCTGATTCTACTTGCTGCTAAAGCTGATTAGCGCTGGACAAATCGAGCCTTAGCAGTTGTGTTTTTTTTTTTGCAAACTCCATATCCGCCAGCGAGTTACAGACCCTCCGATAGCACTGATTGGCTCTGACAGCGGAGGAGAGTGGTTCTTGCGCATCCATCCTCGCCTTGGATTGGCCGTGAGATCTCGCGCGACTAGGACAAAAAAAAAAAAAAAAGCGAGTTGTGGGCAAGATGGCGGCTACTGCTCCCGGCGTGGGCCGGCTAGAGGAAGAGGCCTTGCGGAGAAAAGAACGGCTGAAGGCCCTACGGGAGAAAACAGGGCGCAAGGTGAGAAAAGCACAGGGAGGGCAGAGCCGAGGCAGCCAGCATTCGGAGTCCAGGGCGGAGGGCAGGGACTAGTAGGAAAACACCGTCTCTGAGCTGCGCATGCGTGGGCGACTCGCGCCTACGCGAGGAGAGGCGTCCGCTTACGGAATCTGTGGCTGTGGGGCTGGGCTCTTCCTGGGCGGGGCATTGTAACGCATGCGCGAGGTTGCGCGTGCTGCGGGCTTGGCGCTGCAGGAAGTTAGTTTCTCCCTTACAACTTGTGGCTAGGTTCATTTTAAGTTTAAGATGTTGTTAGGTTCGGCGTGATTTGTTTGGCTTGACTTCCACACTAGATTTCCTGAGTGACAGACCCTACTTTGTTATTGTAGAATGCAAAACTCCAAAGAAAAAGCTGTCAGTGGATTGCAGAGGAAAAAAAAAAGGGTGCTTGCTTGTTTCTTTCCCAGATGATTCTCTGCAGTGAGCCCCCCAGTCCTGTTAGTTGCCAGATTCAGAAGCATTTCCCTCGCCTTCGTTTGACACCGAAATGCTGCGAATCTATTTCTGCCTTAGCTGTCTTCTAAAGCAACGCAGGAGCAGAACTCTGAGGCTAGCTCCCCGTGTGCAGACCCCGTGCGGTCACTCGAGGGTGGGGACTTGGGACAAATTGCCCCCTGTCCCTGAGCTTTCAAGCAGTAGGAGTAACAATCCTGCTTATTCAGAGGATATTAAATATGCCAGAGCTGCCAGCAGTGCCAGGGATCTTGGGACACTTTCCAGTTTAAAAAAACCAAAACCAAAACCAAAACCAGGCTGCTTAGTCTGGCCTATTTTCCTGCATCCTAGCTGTCTGCGCCGCGTGGGAGCGCGAGAGGGGAAGTGGCCGAGAGCGAAAGCTGGCCAGGTTGGCTTCTGCGTTTGTTGGCCGCTGTGCAGCACAGGCATTGCCAGGGAGTCCCAGGTGTGGGCCTTCCCAGGCAGCACCAGCCCCCTACCATAACAGGAGTCCTAACTGAGGCAAGCAGCAGGTACTGAATACCAAGGTCCAAATACAGAGGCCAAGATAGGAGCCTCTTAGCTCACTATCCTGGGATGTTTTCTGAGGGATGTTCCCTCAGGAGAACTGGCCTTTAAAGATTTTTATCAGTGGGACTTAATGCTTACTGGTAATCCCAGCACACCGAGAGGCTGAGACAGGAGAATTACAAATTCAAGATTTGTAGCCTGGGCTATTTCGAAAGACCCTGTCTCAGAAAACAGGAGGGGGTGGGCTGGGAATGTAGCTCAATGCACAGCCTCTGGATTCAATCCCTGGTACCAGGAATGCACACATGCATGCATGCATGCACAAGCTCTCCTCCAAATAGGGCTTGGTATTTTTTATTTAAAGGTGTAGTAAGAGCAGAGTGTGGTGACACACACCTATAATCCCAGCACTCAGGAGGCTGAGGCAGGAGGATTGCTGCAAGTTTGAGGCCAGCCTAAACTGCTTAGTGAGACTTTGTCTCAAAAAGATAAAAAAGTTATAATAAAGTAGACATAAAATTGATAATTTTAGTTGAAGTGTACAGCCCAACAGTATTAAGTACATCCACATTATAATCACACCTCTGTCTTTTCAGGATTATGTCATCATTCCAAACAGAAATTCTAAGTATTAAAACAGTAGCTCATCATGCCTCCTGTTGTAGTCAGGGGTTGTACACAGAGGACAACTAGGATTAGGACATGGAATTTATAATATTTTTATAATAGTCACCAGAAGTTAACACAGGAAAATGCAGGAAATCTATCCGCAACACCAAAGACATAGATTATTTAGTCAAGAGCCTAAACCCCACAGCAGTGTCCCACATGAGTCCCCATAAAAATCCAGAGCTCAGGGCAATGCCTCCACAAGTCCAACTGGAGGTCCAGAGCCCACAAGAAGGACTCACACCAGTCTCTTTTACGGATCCATGCCAGGAAGACCCAAGGGTCAGCGGTGGAAGCCAGAAAGTCTATGCCAGCAGGGTGAAGGAACTGTGCTAGTGGGATGAGGGTTTTATGCTGGAGCCGAGAAGTCACACTCACAACAAAGACCAGGGCTATCCTCAGCGACACGGAGCCCCTGCAATCCTCCAACGACAAGCATAGTTGGGGACGTGCCAGGAAGCAGCCTGATGAGTTCATCCTGGAGACCAAGCAGCACATGTCTTCCCCTCCGGAGCCAGGAAGCAATGCTCGATGTGAGGACCAAAGCTTCTCCAGAACCAACAGCTCAGACAGCAACTCATAGGAGAACACACAATGCCTCCTTAACGCCTCAACCCTCCACACCTCCCTTCTCCACCTATTTATCCTGGCAACTTTCCTCAGGTGGAACATCTTCGCTCAATGCCATGCTGATGTAATCCAGCTGGCGTTAAATTGACCACCAGTTCTTAATCCATAACACCTCCTTTTCTCCATCTTACGCACACTGTCGCAGCATTTGTGGCTGTGAACTTGACTTGTCTGGGTACCTTATTTTAGTCGAGTCATACAGCACTGTTTCACTTAGTCTAGTGTCTTTAGCATTCATCCGTGTCAGAATTTCATCACTTTTTAAGGCATGTTGATTATCCATTCGTCCACTAATGAACAGTGGGATTGCTTTTACCTTTTGCCTGTTGTCAATAATGCTGCTGTAAACATGGAAGTGAACACATTCATTTGCGTCTCTGCTCTGACTTCTTTTGGGCATGTACTCACAAGGGAATTGCTGGGTCACACGGTATTTCTCTGTCTAATTTTTTTTTTTTTGGTCTTTTTTTTATCGGTACCAGGGATCGAACTCATGACTGCCTGCTTACAAGACAGGTGCTTATGCCGCTGAGCTAAATCCCCAGCCCCCATCCGTGTCTAATTTTTTGTGGGCGTATATTTCTGAGACAGTTTCACTGTGTAGTTCAGCTGGTCTTGAACTCACTATGTAACCCAGGCTGGCTTCAAACTTGCAGTGACCCTCCTGCCTCAGCTTTGTGAGTGCTGGAATTACAGGCACATACCACCAGGCCCAGCTCAGGTTTACTCTTTTGAGGCCCGGGGCCCCCATCCTGGTTTCCACAGCAGCTGCACCATTTCACATCCCCAGCAGCAGTGCACAAGGGTTCCACTGTCTCCACCTCCTTCTCTATATTGTGCTTCCCTTTCTCTTTTAAATTATAGCCATCTTAACGGGTAACAGGCGGTGTCTCATTGTGGTTTTGATTGTATTTCCTTAGTGATCAGTGATTTGAATGTCTTTTCCTGCGTTTATGGCCATGTGCGTGATGTTGTTGGAGAAATATGTATTCTAGTTCTTTGCTCATTTTGAAAATCCAGTTGTGGGGGAACTTTTGTTGTTACTGTTGTTGCATTTAAGGGTTCTTCTCATAGTTTGGATATTTACAACTGTCTAGGTATATGATTTTTTTTGTTGGTTTTGTTTTGTTTTTGTCTTTGAGGAAGGGTCTTGTTGTGTAGTTCATGCTGGCTTTGAACTATGTGGTCCAAGCTGGCCTCAAACTTACAACAATCTTCCTGCCTTAGCCTCCCAAGTAGCTGAAAATAGACATGTGTCACCACACCCCCAAATGTGGGATTTTTTTCGGCGGGGGGTGTACCAGGGATCAAACTCACGACCTTGCTATTGCAAGGCAGGCGTTTATACTGCTGAGCTAAATCCCCGACCCAAATGTGGATTTTTTTAATACAGTTTTTATCATGTTAGATTTCCTTCCTGTCATAGCTTTTTGAGCATTTTTGTAATCCTGAAAGGGAGTTAAATTTTGTTAATGCTTTTTCTACATCACTTAAAATGATTGTGTGGGTTTTTCTTTCATGCTGGTAAGTGTATGTCGATCAACTTTTTATGTTGAATCATTCTTGCGTTTTAAGAGAAAATCTTACTGTATCATGGTCTGCACATCTTTTAATAGTATTTATGTGGTGGCGCTTGCCTGCAATTCCAGCACTTGGGACACTGAGGCAGGAGCGTAGTTTGAGGCCAGGCTGGGCTACATAGCAAGACCCTGTATCCAAAAGCCAAAAGGGGGGAAAAAAGGATTGCTGAATTCAACTTGCTGATGTTTTCGTGAGGATTTTTCCATCAGTATTTTAAGGTGCATATATACATGTATATGTATGTATATCTATAATTTTCTTACAATGTCTGTCTCGTTTTGATATCAGAGTAATGCTGACTCTTTAAAATGAGTTAGGAAATAATTCTTCTCTCTTCCATTTTTGAGAGGAATTTGCGGAATATTTGTACTGTTCCCCACTATGGGGCTTTGTGGCTATAATTTATTCCTTCCACAGATAGAAATGGAGCAGACAGTCTGCCCCAAGTAACTTGCATTCAGCTGACAAGACAGAGTCCCACTAGCCGTACCAGGTCTTAGATGGAGGATACGTGGCTGGAAGTGCCCGGTGCTCCTTGAAATGCTGATGGTTTAAAATCCTTTGTTAAATGTGATGCCTTTCCAGAGTTGAGCTGGTCCCTGATACCAGCTGCCTGGCTTGTCTGGTCTTGTCCAGTGAGTTGGTGGGACAAGAGCTTTTCTGGTAATTTTCTTTCTTTCTGAAGCAGCTCTGGAGATTCTCTTTCATGAGTGTCATTGAGAGCCATGATCAGAAATACTGTGACCACTACTGCCGGTGCCATCCTGCGACAAGGCGGGATCATGAAACATGACGCTGTGTCTTCCTCATCCACTCTATTCACCAGAACTGGCACCGTGCAACTCCTGGCCCTTTCCCCGGGATTGTCCTTTCTCTCTCCCCAGCGCTGTGTTTAGCGTGTTGCAATCTCAGTAACGGAAAGCTTGCTGTGTAACCATTTCCCAATGGCACTGAGTGTGTTCACAGTACCCTGCAGCTGTCACCATTTCCGACACTGTTATCAGCCAGACTCTGTGAAGCAATAACTCCCGTTTCTTTCCCCCAGCTTCTTATAACCACTAATTTATTTTCTGTCTCTACCAGTTGCCTACTGCAGGTACTTCATGTCAGTGGGG